GAAAGTATGCAGAGCCCATTCGGGCACTGGATGGGCTTTGGCCTATAATATAATTTAATAGGGGAGACTGTGCCTAGAATTTTCCTCTTCGTTCAATAAGAATAATGAATATTAGGGATGTTTGTAGTTGGGATTGTGACTAAATATTTGGACGGGTATATCGTCCATGGCCTGTAGTTTTCGCCAAGCAGATTTGTAGTAATGCGAAGATCTTAAGAATACAAAATCAGAGGAACTGTATACAACATATCTCGCAGAGTTCATCGGCTCGCAAAGTCCTAGTTTGTCCATGGAGGTCATTATCCCCGCTCCTTAGCTGCAAGCCTACCAAGAGGCCTAAGGACCAACCCCTCAAACGCTTCGTCCACACTCTCCTTCCCCGGAGCCGCTCCGGACCGACTCAACTTGCCCGATAGGCAGTCGTCGACGGCCTTTGCATACGCCTCGCCCACACTCGGTACCAAGAGCGGAACCCACCGCCGGCGCAGCTCGGTGCGCATTCTGCTGCGTTCCGTGGTGCTCACCTGCACCATTTCCCATAGCGGATGCCAGAGGCCGATTTCGAGGAGCACGAGTCCGAGGCCGTAGTAGTCGTACTCGGCTAGATAGCCTGAGGCCGAGGCGAGATTGGCGGCGTCGGCGCCGGCGTAGTCTGGGTGTCGGTACGCGAAGAGCGCCTCTTCTGCGCTGTGCATCTTGTTCGAGTAGTCGGCGTTGCCGGGTCGGCTGTGCGAGAATCCTATTAGGGAAGGGTGGTCGAGGTTAACCTTGTGGACAGTGCCATCGATGTCATCATCGGCGTTATCGTTATCGGCATTGATGTTCGTACTATCCTCGTCATTGATAGCATAGGATTCTATGCCCTCATTGAAGAAAAGAACATTGTACGAGGATATGTTTTTGTGCAGCCAGTTCATCTTATGGAACTCGAAGACGGCTGAGGCTAGACTGTAAGCCAAGCGAAGGCGGTCGTCAAGACTTATGATGACCATTTTTTCGAAATCAATTGGATCCGGGTGTTCACTGAGGATTTCAGCAAGATGGGAAACTCTCGGATGCGTTCTACGCTCTGATGCAGCGGTCTTGGGATACCGGTACACCAGGCCGATGGTTCGCCGCCTCTCATCATGATAGATTCCTGCGCAGCTGAGGGCGCGGAATCTAGCCGCTACCTGTGGCGGCTGTCCTAGGACATGTTCGAGGCTTTGGAAGAGGGTCTTGCTTCTAGAAGCGCTGTTAAAATCAGGCCCTATTTCTAGTTCCTCGATGACAACAGGAGTATTTGACCCGTCTTCATCAAGTGTGCCGAGTTGGAATGTGTGCACCTTTCCGGGGTCATCTGAGTGTTCCGTCTCGTTATTCTGATTATCCCCTTCCTCATCATCGTATAGAGCCTTTCTCTTCAATCGTGTAACACTAGCTGGATCCAGCTTTGGCACTACTCCCTCGGGGGTTTCTATAAGCCGGTTCACGTTTTCGGCGGACAGGAGTAACCTGACATTCTCGTCCGGCCTAGCCTCTCGCGAATCAGGCTTAGCAGTCTTCGCTAAGGCCACCGATGGCCTAGATTGTGTTACATGACGAGCCCGAGGCATGACTTTCAGCTCCGCAACTGTACGAACGCTACGCCGACTGTCTTCATCCAGAGACATGAGCAATTGGCCGTTAAAGCGCCGTAATCTTGCGAAAAGCGGGGAGTCGTGACGGGAGGCCTCGGCTAGCAACTGGAACTCATCGCGGATGGCATGGACGGTGGTATATACATGAGCGAACATTTCATCGGTATGCAGAAACTGACGTTTCGATGTTTTCGCATTTTCACCGATCCGCCGGAGCCATTCGAGGAACACTTGTCTCTCAACTGCGTATTCGAGGGGCTCTGTGCGCTCGCTTGTCTCTGAAGACGGCTTCAGATGATTTTCTACTGGTTCAGCCATCTTCATGAGCGTGATGCATCGTAGACGGAGAAGGACCGCCCGAATATCCGGCCGTCTTTCCGGATCGATGGACAGCATGTCCTTGATGAGTGCCACTAGCTCCTTTTCTGCGCTCGTACGACCTCCTCCCTCGTTGGAAAGCCACGCTTCCACCCCTTCATGGGGCTCACCACATTTATGAAAAGATTTAAGGAAAACTCCCGGCTCGTCTTTCTTAGGCATATGTAGGAACTGTCGCTTCTCCTTGAATTGTTCAACCTCAGTAGGACCCCCTTTCATGTAAGCGAAAAGCACGGCAAGTATGGCACCCAGGGACCAAATGTCGCTAGCAGGACCAATTTCCTGCCGAACGGGTATCGGTACCGAGTAGTCAAGTCTCTCTGGCGCATCGAAGTACAAATCTCTGTCGTCAGCTAGCTGCTGCAGGTCTAGCATTGACTCGGTCAGCCGAGCCAGGCCGAAATCAGCCAAAATAAATCTATCCTCGTGAACCAAGATGTTCCGCGGCTTTAAGTCATGATGGCATCCAAGGAGCTCCACTTGCAAGTCATCGTTGGTATAGTAATGTAGCTGTTCAAGGGCTGAGGCAAGGCCGCATACTGCGAGATAGATGGCTTCGTCTTCACGGAATTGACTTGGTCGGTCCTTTCTGCGGAGAAGATCATGAAGATCGCCACCGGTCGCCTCGGGAAAAAGAAAATTGTGCGTATGGTGTTGCGTATATGAACCGCTAAGATCTAGTATGCTTTTATGTCGGACTACGTTTAGCAGACGAAGACACCGTAACTCGCTCTCATACGCATTGCCGCCTTTAGTCTTCAACATCTTGCGGACAAGCGTCATGCCCTGAAATGGGATGGTTAGCTATGCTCGAAAAATGTGTAGTTCCTTAAGGTATAATTACTTGATTATCGGTTAAGCCGTATTCATGGGGCGGAAGTTTCTCTCTTGACACTAAACCAAAATGTCCACTTGGAGGTTTCTTCTTGGTCTTTTCTGTCTTAATCGCGTTGAGAAACGGAACTCGAATTTGATCTTCGAAAATTCGGTGAGGTATCCCTTGAGGGAAAACAGGGACAACAAACAGAAATTGAGCCTCAATGAAGGCGTCCCTTTCTTGAGGCACGTCGAGAATGCCGTCGAGATCCGATGCTTTCATTGGCAGCTTGCCGTCGAGGCTCTCATTCTGAAAGCCCGGGTCTAAACGTTTGAATTTGTAGATGCTGTCTGGCCGACCAACGAGGATCAAAGTGGCAAACATTCGTAAACCGCCATTGCTTATTGCTTCGGCGATAGATGGCTGTTCATATGCCTCGATACTAGTCTCCGAAAGTATTCGCAATACGGTCTCTGGGGTCAGCAGTTCCAATAACCATTCATACGGTACGAATTCAAGACCGTCAATGTTTTTCCTTCGTCGGTCATTGATTTGCTTCGTAAAGAGCTGCATCTGTTTAGAAGATGCCATTTTCAAGCCTCGAGTACGAAACACAGTGGCCCTTCAAGAAAACAAAGCGGCAGCGATGAATCAACAAGTTGAATTGGTTGCTGTTGCAGGTATTCTGCTCTGCAAAATAAAGTCTACGTCCGATTTTATGTCCCCCAACTAATTTGAGACGCTATTCAGAACATCGACTAATTCCTCCTCCGGGAGTGTCAGACCTGATCATTTCCCAAGTAATGAATAGTACTCACATCAGAGAGTTTGCGGGGAACGTATATGAGGGTAACGTCGTCTTCCTTTGGCTGAGGATAAGCAACAGTTAGGTTAGTAGTCGTAACACAACCTGATTAGACCGACAGAGTGATAGGGGGTAATATTCAAGAGAGAGGCACCCACGTACCTCGATGATGGTACCTATACCGGGAAACAACTTCGCAAGCTTGGCCTTCAATTTGGTTATATCGATGTATTGAGACTCAAGTTCTTGTTTGACGAGTTTGGCGAGATCCATTTGTATTTCGGAGGTATGATACGGCTTGGGTTAAAAGCCTTTAGCGTAATGAGGGGGGGATATATCGGGGATGTGTGGGTGAGTATTCTAGAGAGATGTGTGATGGCAATTCACATTTTTATACAACTAAATCCGCGGGTAATGCGTTTGAAGAAGGCACCTGCATGCTTGAATGAAACTGGATTTGCGGAGTTATTCCCACGACTTCCCCATAATAAGAACTCATCATTAGCCTGGTTAGGTGCATCTAGCACTCAGGCAGGCTCTGGAGATGCTGAGGCTGGCGATTGGATAGTAAGATTCAGCGTATGTGACGGAAGTGCGAAGATCCCCGCGCTCGATGACGGCGACGTGTAATTGGTTCACATTGGAGCGAAGAGTGACAGCTTTGCTGGTGGGATATTTGGAAGCGATGCTTGGAACTTTTGGACGGCCCCCAAAACGGCGACGTGGAAAACAAGGTCCCATATGTTGTGCAGACGGAAGCTCCGATTACTGTACTATACAATAGGTATTCATCCACATCCACATGGAAGCCTATGTAATGCACCGAAGACTATGTACATACTCACACATGCCGATAGATACATCCATCTATCATCTATCGTGGGTGCTGACAGTATGCAGTGATATGGCAGGTTGCTCGGTGCAGGTGCATAATGACATAAAATGCTATTTCGTCAATTTCAGCCATCACAGCGACACGGCATAAATAGGTTGATAAAACGTTTGAAGACTCGGACTGAATCAGATATTATGTAGTCTGCACGACAATCTGAGAGCGGTACTAGATGGGTGTAAACAAGATGGGGTTTTCAATTGGCGACGGAGATTCCTCATTTGTGGATAATTGCTCACTGTAACGCCTGTATACTCTTGGCGCCAAATGAGGATGCTAATTGGTGGTGATTAGCTTGCCAAGGAGTTATTTGAAGACTATGGCTGCTTGTAGTCTAGTGGAGCTGTAGTTACATATGAGTTGTTGACCCCAAAGTTATCTCTCTACGTTTGTGTACTTGTCCATCTTCTCCTGTAGCTGACCCTTTTGTTTTTGAAACGGGAAATAGAGAAGGTTATAATTTGTAAAAACCTTATAGACTTCTAATAACCCAGCAGTGGTGTAGTGGTAGCACGCCCTGTGCCTGGCCTTGTGCGTCTGCGGCAAAAGCGACGTGTGGTGGCGACCTACTGCTCTCTTGAAAAAGATGAGAGAGCTACGGGATGACCTAAGCGCCTCCAAGCAAGCCTTGAAAGGAAGCCCGGGTTCGATTCCCGGCTCTGGGATTTTTTTATACCCATTTCCTTCCCTTTTACAAGTCCTTACTCGTTAACTATACGTAACCCCCCTTCCCCCTTTTTAACAAAACGCTGAGAATCACTTATATGGTAATATATTCAGCACATAATTAGTTGGTTATGTGCGGCTCGTAGGCTCAAAGTTAACCAGTCCCTTCTACCCCGACTAGCCTCCGTCTCTCCTACAACGTCAATATAACCAACCACCCTTGCTACCACAGCGCCCTGCAACATCATCCATTACAATGCTAAGTGGCTGCTGGTATTAAGCTAAAAAGTTATTTTTATTCATTGCTCGCACCAAGTAGTGTTGAAATTGAAATCTCTGAGCTTGTTTTTATGTTTTGCTTCCCGCGTAGTCACGGCAATTGATTGACCAAGAGATGTCCACTCATGCATGCATGCTCTTGTCTGTTCCATGTTGTGGTACCTACCTCGCCTACCTCAACTGGCCAGCTGTGAATTGGCACATTTTCTCATAGGTAGTGCGGCTCAAAAAGAGTCAGCTCCTATCCCGCGCGCGTCCTTGCCTTTATTGGACAATGTATCTAATCTGCCTACATATGTAAGTGTCGTAAAAGGCATCGCCTGCCTCCGCTACCCACCCTCGCCACCCTAGCCTGCATGCCGCTACTGTAAGTACATATCCGCACCCTCTGCCAATCATCAATTAGACGGGTCAACAATTTACAAGACCTGCGGCAACAACAGAGCTGAGAAAAGTTACAAGTATTTAAAAAATGCCTGAGCTCCTCGCCATCCGATTCGTACACGTTCCTCTCCTCATCCTCCAGAGTCGTCCATGTTGTTTCTCATCCTACCCTGCTTGACGCATACATAATAAATAAGTATGGATATACTACACTGAGGATTACAGTAGCGTGGAAAGCGAATCTTGCAACCGACAGCAATGGCTGACGCGCTGTGGGGCTGTGATACCGTCCTCATTCGGCAGGGGTTGTCCCAAGAGGCCCCAAGGATATTCTCAAGCGAGACGAATCAGGTCGACTACTGGACATCGCCAGCAAATGACAGTCCTGCTGACGTCCCGGGCTGTGAGTGTCATTCCACGGCGGCCCCCAAGACGGGGGATCCTCTTCAACTCAAAAGTACTGATTGAGCAAATCGGAAGTCATTAGTAAACACTTACTCGACGGTCGCAATCCGGAAGTCCCTTCTGGAAACGAGCAGGTGAGTCGAAAGGTTTATGGTCTTGGAGGATCAAAGCACTGATTGTTGGCTTTTGCAAGGAGAGAGATGCATTTTTGTAAGTTGATTGTTGTAAAACCGGCGCCGTTCTTGCAGTGCTGTCTTGCTGACCATTTCCCGCAGTATCATCTCTCAACCTCACTCGTGGGACCGTCTCCTTATCACTAGGGATACGTGGGATAAACTCGTTGCGATATACAACATCTTTCCCTATTTTTCTGAAACAGTGCTGTCTTTTGGTCTGCGGACGAAGAATGACGGTAGTACGTGGAATAACTTCCATTCACGAACATCACTGGGCTTATCCGGTAACTGTCAGTCATCCCAAATGGTTCGATTGAGCGCTGGAAATTAACCCTATCGTGCAGTGGAAACATGTTACACTGTCAGATTATTCGAGAAAAATCATAGGGTGGGCGAGATGAACGACCCTTGGTCTTTGAGACAGATCGGCGTATATCATCGACTCCATGCTCTGACTGGAACGTCAGTCTGGGTATTGATTAAGCCCTCTCCAGAGCTCAAGAATCGACTACCGGAGAGGTTAGAGGCATTTTCATGCAATAATAGTCTACGCAGTATACGGCACGCATTGGTACACATTACTATCCTCACCTTTTCCTTGCATGACTGGCGTGACTATATAGCAACCCAGCGGTCGAGGATAGAGCAATTTGTACGTCGCCACAGCTCTGCTAATCTCCACCGTTCATCTCATGCTAATTATGATTTTCCCACGCTCATAGGAAGGGAAGTCTTTCTTCTCGGAAGCAGATACCATCAATCAGAATGACTACAGATTGAGTTTCGAAGATCGGCAAAGACTCCAGCGGCTTCGTCAGAAACTGATCAAGGCCAGATCCGTTCTAGATTCCTCGCTCGACCTTTCTTATCGACTTCGTAAAAGATTTCCCAGTATGGTCAACCAGTTAAGCAATGAACTAAAGGAGGCCATTTTTGTAGAGCTAGATGACTTCGATGCAGAGGCCAATTACAACAAGCGGTGCATTATAGAACTCGAGCAACGCTCAGCAGACGCCGCTCAATTGGTTAGTCAGAATCCCCTAAAGAGTGACCCGCGCCCCAGGCTTACCCGCTACCTAATGCTGACGTGCCATAACAGCTATTGAGTATCCTGGAACATCGCAATGGCAACCTGGGCCTTCGAAGTACCCAAGCGAATGAAAAGGCTCTTACCGTGATGATGGGCATTGCGGTAAACTCTGAGATGGAACACGAGCTTGAAGAAGCCAGTTCAACCAATGTCCGGGCCCTGACTGTCGTTGCGACCTTGTATCTTCCAGCATCCCTCCTAGCGGTAAGTAGTGGCCAATAACCCCTGTCGACGTATGACTCCAGTGTCGAAAGCTGACCAAGTGGGATTACAGGGGATATTCAGCACGGATCTCATCAACTCCAACTTGGGCTATTTTGTTGTCTCTAACGAGTTCTGGAAATTTATCGTTGTCTTAATTCCGATGATCCTTGTGACATTTGCCATCGTGTATTCTCTTCAACGCATATGGCAAAGGAGGAACGCACAGAAGCTGGAAAAGAAGACACAGGCAGCAAGGGAGAAGCGTAACGAGCCGTAATTGTGCTGCTGCTTACTTTCTCATCTTCAGTCTTCGAATAGGCTAAGAGATACGCAAAGTAACCCGTATCTAATCTATCTCGTCCGCACCTTTTAATGTTTCAAGAATTAATGTTTCTTGGAAGTTGTTATTGGCTATGATCGGTTTGATCATCCAACATAGAGCTTTGAAGCCAAATAAATAGCGCACTTGATCTCCTGCAGATAGCACGCATGAAATCATGAAAGTTGGTATATGGTATTGAATATATATAGAGGTACCGTATATCACACTTAAATACTAATAATACCAGCGTCTGTGTAAAATTCAACTTTGCGCTTTGTAGTGATGGATGATGCTATGGCCGACCCCGTATCGATTTAATCACAAAGAGAGCATCCACAATCAGTTACCATGATAAGTTTAGTATTATCTGTTGATATTATTCATCATTTGGGGGCGGAAAGCGAAAGTGCAGAAATCGACCCGACAAATATTCGTGGCGCTGTCAGCCTGCAGGTGCCTGCATAGCTGAAAGAGCGACCGGGGATGGGACCGTTACGGTCGCATTATGCAGGCTACGGCGTCTATTAGAAATACGTCAACAATATCGCATGAGGTACAATGAGAGGGAGGGTATGTGAGGCTGTAGGTATCTTTGGGGAGGTCGGCGACCATATTCCCGGGCGCGCAGCTGAAGTGTCTGATTTTATAAACCGCTCGCTCCGTCATTAGTGCTGAGTACATCTTTAGTCGCGATAACAACCTCATGCAACCTCACGTATAAGAATATCATGGCGAATGAGAGAAAAGGCTTCGGCCGACGAAACTTTGGACCTGTTAAACAACAAGGCGGCAAACCACCCGGTCCGGCCGCCAATGCCAATTTCTTAAATGACAAGACGGTGACCAAGACAATCTCAATAAAGGACAAGAAAGAGGGATCCTATAACCTGCTAACCTGCTTGGCATGTGCGCAGCAGAGCGGTGTCGACCTTATAGGAATTACGTGGATCGATGCTCAGGGCCTGCTGGGACGGGGTGGCCAAGCTGCAGTGAGCCAGACGAGAGCAAGCGCCAGTGCCGTCCTAGCATTTAAGCGTCCCGACTCGACCCCAATCGGTTCATGGATCTCTAAGGCAACGACGAGTGAACGGCGCAAGCTTGACGATGTGTACCGCGCCGTCGCCTCTGAGATCCTAGTTCTGGGCGATGAGGAGATCAGATCGCACCCCAACATTGTGAGGCTCCATGCCATCAGCTGGGAGATCCATCAAGCCAGATCATGGTTCTTCCAAAAGATCACTCGGGTATGGCCAATCCTTGTATTTGAGAAGGCGTCATACGGTGATTTGGGGGTTTTCATGGCTAGCGAGCAAGGCGAGGCGCTCGACATAGCTACGAGGATCAAGATCTGTCGCGGCATCGCTTCTGCTGTTGCCGCCGCTCATAGGAAGGGTAAGTTTTCTCGAACTCCGAAGCGACGGGTGTTTGCTAGGTCGCTCTCCATCTCCGAGTGTGCGTTCATCTTCAGCTAAAGTGAATGATAGGTATTGTCCATGGCGACATTAAACCCGGAAACGTTCTAGTTTTCGGTGACGAAGAGCCTGTGCCTAAACTTGCTGACTTCGGATTCGCGGCATTTGCCTCGAACAAGCATATCAGGATAGTTGGCACAGAGATATGGCGTGCTCCGGAGGTCACATCTCGCTTAACCCACACGCTGAAGCAAGCTAAGCTTTCCGATGCATTTTCCTTCGGGCTGCTATGCCTATGGGTAATATTTCGACAAGATCTTCTAAAGCGGCACCAGGCCCAACCTCAACCGGCGAACAAAAGCTCCGGATGGCTAGAGTCTCTGAGTCGCTGGTTGGGTTTCGGCGTTGCTAAGCCTTTAGATCCAGATATACACCAAATCGGTATACACAACAATCGGATTGCGTCAATGAATACGGCAAAGGCACTAGCTATAGAACTCGTTGACAGCATGCTTGACAAGACGTGGAAAAATAGTCTGGCCCAGTTGTTTGAGTCGACACTTGAAGTCGATGCCGAGAAGAGATCTCAGTGTCTTGAGCATGGATCCAAATCCGAATTTGAATTCATCACGACTCTTCTCAAAGAACCTAAGTACGTGGGCGCCCCTCTACTTCAGGATATTCACTAACACAACTATAGTAGCTCCAATATAGATTCTGGCTCCAA